GAAATGAACAGTGCTTTTTTTTGGATTAACAGGAATTTACAGGCTACTGTTCTCAAAGGTTTTTGCCATTTTTTTTCCTTTTGGAATAACAGGCTTGTTTCTTCCTACTTGTTTGTATGACATACAACTTATTCTACAAAATATTACTGCCTAAAATATGTATACAGTACCTACATTTTAATTTACCTCACTTCAGTCCGTGTGCCAGTGTTCTTCAAACTGTGCTTTGAAGTCCAACTGAAGGGATGGTCAATCAGAGACTCGTGTTTCGCCACATGATGTGCTCTACCACATATTGTTGATCTTTTCTAAACATTAAGAAATTAATGTATACATTTTAAATAAGGAATGAAGTCTTACTAATGACCTAAATAAAACTAATTGTAACTCATTAGTAATGAATGTGGCGTTACTGACTTCTTCCATAGGAGTTACTAAAGAACAAGAACAGTATTATAAAGTGAAACACACTGTAACTCATTAGTAATGTATGTGGTGTTAGAGTAAACTATTTCTTTCACTTAAACATTTACTGAGTTCTTTTTAAGCGGTTAATAAGAACAATTAATGTTAACATAGCTTATTTGTTTCACTTAAACATTCATGTAACACTTCATGACACAACAGCATAAGTTCATTTTAAACATTTAATTTGAAGCATGTTTAATTTGAAGCATGAAGAATGTTTAAGTGAAACAAATAAGCTATATTAACATTCATTGTTCTTATTAACCCCTTAAAAAGAACTCAGTAAATGTTTAAGTGAAATAGAATTAGTTCACTATTACCTATTGAGTAATTAACCATAATTCCTTAGTAGTTAATAGTACCGATTTACAGTAGGTGTTAATGAAGCACTACTCCTTTGCTGCTGCTTACTTCTTGCATATTTACCTGTTAACTACGGAACAGTATTATAAAGTGTTACCCCGGATGTGTGTGTGCGAAATTTGGTGATTATTGGTCGTTATTTTGGTACATTAAACCACATTAAGCTTTTTCACATTAAGCGTTTTAGAATGTACCCGGATAAGGGAGGTTTGACTGTATCAGTGTGGTTTTTAAATTCTTTATAGAACTGTAGTTTTATTGCGTATACATTACCTGCAGTGGCATAAAACGCATCTTTAATAGCCTGCACTCACAGGTGTTCGGGAAAAACAATT